TGGCAGGGGGCTTCTTCCTGCTTTCCCTTTCGCCTCCCTGCATTGTGCCTACATATGCAAATTAACCGCCATCTTGTTGGCAGTTAACTGCCAATCTTAGTTGGCAGTTGCATATAGCCCTGATTAGCCAATGAAAAGGGTAGCGTCGTACGCCAATTACCATTTTTCTCTTTTATTAGTGTAGATGATTCTTGGGCCACAGCCCTGGAGAATCTGATTTAGTATACTTGAAGTAGAGCCCAGGAACCTGTTTTCTTATCAGGTTGCCCCAGATTAATAAGAACCAGATGGGATCCAGCAGGTTATATTTTTTGGGTTGACTGGGAAACCTACATTTTTTTTAGTTTTTATAGTGGACTAGAGGCCCGATGCACAAAATTCGTGCAAGAGTAGGCCTTCCTTTCCCTAGCTGCCAGCACTGGCTTCCCTCTGGCACCCAGGACCCAGGCTTCCCTCTGGCTGCCGGCAGGCACCTGGGACCCAGGCTTCCCTCACAGCTCCAGTTTCGTCCAGAAGGTCGTCTGGAAAGACATCTGGTCTAATTAGCATATTATGCTTTTATCATTATAGATTAGAACTGGTTCATTCATAATACTTTCAATTCATTTTGGAAACTTTGTTGAATTTCCAAAAGAGCCTCAAACCCAGGGTCTCCTCCATCAGGGAGCTCTCTGGTTTCTGGCCCAGCCTGAGAATGCAGGAATTTAGACTGGGAAGTGCTGGCTCACAGAGTAAGTCCCTGCTCCTTTGCTGATACAAGACCCTATATCTAGAAGGCTTTGGAGGGCAGGAAGGTAGCCAAGATCCTAAGCAATCTTTTGGCTGAGGGCAGTCATCAAAGAAGGTTGGCAAGTTTTCCTTCTTGAAAGTGGATGGAATGAACTTCAAAAAATATTTTTAATCCTCACCTGAAGATACGTTATTATTTATTTTTTATTGCTTTTAGAGGGGGGGCAGAGAGAAAGAGACAGACATCAATGTGAGAGGGAAACATTGATCGATCGCCTTCCGTATGCACCCCAATAAGGGATTGAACCTGCAACCTAGTTATATGACCTGGCCAGGAATCGAACCCCCAACCTTTCAGTGTATGGGACAATGCTCCAACCATCTGATCCACCCAGCGAGGGTGAAAGTGGATGTAATGAACTTTTCAGTCTGGGAGCACCTCTGCTTCTGTTGGGGTCACCACCCTATCAGCAGCTAGACTTGAAATCATTTCCCCCTATAACCAATCAGTCAAGTCCTGTGGATTCTACCTTCAAAATCTCTCTTCTACCCAATCCCTCCTTTCTATTCTTACTACTCTAGGTCAGGCCCTTGGTAACTCTTGGCTTTATTACAGCAGATAGCATTTTGATTGTTACCTTCTTCCCTCCATTCCATTCATTCCCTTCATTGCCTCTGTAGTACCACTTGATCAATTCTCTTCTTGGTGCAGCTCACATCATACTTTTTCTCACAAGGCAGGATATAAATTCCTCATTGGAGTTCAAGGCCTCTTCATGACCTGGTCCCAAACCAGCTTTAATGTGCCATCTATTTATTTCCCCCCTCAGCAAAGGCAGCTCATACATCTCACAGGAGGTCTCCTCACTGCTCCTGAACCTGTCTCCTTCAAACATTATGTCTCCGATTTCTCCAGGCTGGAATTCTTTTCCAGCTCTTTAATCTTCAAGCACTTAGCAGCTTTATTAAAGAACTTACGTTGGTCTCTCTAATATTAAAGTTTGTAATTACATGTTTATCTCTCTTACACACTGAGAACCAGATCACACACTGGGAAATCAGACTTAATTATTATTTAATTTTTCATCTGTGCCCCCCCTCATATGCACAGAATGCCTAGCAAGACATCTGCACATGTATTGATTAATTAAATATTTTTTAATCAAACTGGGGATTGGAGAAGATTGTTTCTAATTGAGTCTATTTGCAAAGCTTGCTTACTGATTCAACAAATATTTATTAAGGGCCTGCTATATGCCAAGCACTGTATAGGTTCCAACGTCATAAACACAGTAAGAATAGCTTACAGATTCAAGGTGTATGTGAGGAAATCTTATTCCTAAAGCATAGCTGTGAGATTATTTAATACCTAGTATATTGAGTTCTTACAAGTATATCTGAAAGGAGAAATATGACCCCCAATGAGATTCTGCAGTTCCCACAAAATAAGGTTCTCCCCTCTAGTAATATGTGTCTTGAAAATGGGTTTATGGACATGCAGGGAAGACATTCTATATTTGCTCTTTGCTCAGTTTCACTTCATCATTTCTCTCATCTCTCCCTTCTTTTTTTTCCTGAGGGCGTGAGGAGAACTTTGTAAAAACTGTGCAAAACTAGAAAGACCTAGGGCTGCAGTTGATGGTCTTTTATTTTTTATTTTTTAGTGTGAAGGTGGGAAAATGGAGCTGGAAGAGAATAAATCACTGTTCCCACTAGTCTTCATGGATCATGCCTTCTGCTTTTAGCAACAGCTCTTTCCCATTATTTTATTAAGCCTCTCTTGCCTGGAAAGAGGAGTCTGACCTTTAACTTTCTATTCTGGGCTCATTTGGAGATGTTTCACATATCCATAATATTGTCGGTTGCTACAAGACTAGTTCTCTTGATTCTCGGTGGCTGGACATTTCTGCCTCTCATGGAAACAGTATCCAAGGAGCTGTCACTCTTCTTTCTCCCAAAGTGGTAGGTGGGTGTTTGGTATCACATAATGACTGTACCATACATTGAGTACAAGTGAAAATGAAGGGAATTTATTTCCACCTGATGCTTCTGCTCGGCAATGTCTCTGAAACATACTTTCTAATAGACTGTTGTCATGGTCACTTGCTTCTTTATCTTTTACAGTATCGGGAGGCCCTTTACAAGTTCATGGTGGATACTGCCGTACTTTTGGGTGCTAATAGCTCCCGAGCAGAGCATGACATGAAGTCAGTGCTTAGACTGGAAATTAAGATAGCTGAGGTAAGACTTAATCTAAAATCTACTTTTTTATTTTCTTTATTTTAAAGGCAGTATATCCTGAATGAAAAAAATATATATAAAATAGCATTCTGTGACATTGTCCTTTGGGTCCAAGGTATAACGAATAACACCTCCTCTGGAAAGTCTCAACTATGGCCAAAGACCCTCTGACTATATTTTCCAAGAGAAACTCCTGTATGGCTCCAATAGAAGAATAGTTATTTAATGAATCCTTATTGATTTGGTTTGAGTGGAAGGTAATTTTTAAAATATATATATTTTTATTGATTTCAGAGAGGAAGGGACAGGAAGAGAGAGATAGAAACAGCAATGATGAGAGAGAATGATTGATTGGCTGCCTCCTGCACACCCCCTACTGGGGATTGAGCCTGCAACCTGGGCATGTGACCTTGACCGGAATCAAACCCGGGATCCTTCAGTCCTCAGGTCGACGCTCTATCCACTGAGCAACACCAGCTAGGGCTGGAAGATAATTTTTAACGTAACCTACTCTTTTCCCATTGCCACTCAGGGTCAGTCTGACCTAAGATAGGGACTTAGAGAAGTCTGTCCCACCATACTGGATACACAAATTTGATGTAGAAGTGTATAGGGTGAGCATTTTTAGCTGCCTTTCTGGTACTATTTGTATCCAGCCCTGTTTTTTCATTCTTTTCTTGCCCTGCTTTAATGAATCTCATTGTGTTACTATGTTCTGTGTAGGTCACCTTAAATTCTTCCAGGTTAATGCTGGGAACAAAAAGATCTAAGAACCAACTTAAGGGAGAGTGAGAAATCCTAAATGGTTAGCTTTCTTTATAGAATAACTTTTTTTTCCCTAGAAGAACCAAAGTGTAAAACCCCTATACATTCCCAAACCAGAGAGAACAAGTATTGTGAGATCTGTTTGTTGGGATACTTTGCTGTGGGGGAAAAAAAAACTTTTGTCAAGAAACACTTGTATATGGATTGGTAGTCTTTTATAACAAGTTGCTAAAAATCCTAAAGTTCATGTGGCTCCAAGTGTTGCTTGGCTTGTGTTTGGTGAAGTGTGGTGGGATTTTGAGGTATGGAGTTGGGGTGATGGAGAAGGTGGAGGAGGAATTAGTCTTTCTCTCAGCAGCAGTGATGTATGTGTGGACCTCTCTCCAAACTTCTACTTGCAGCACAAAACGTCCAATCCTGCGTGTCACCTTTGAACACTGTGTGATGAAGGTCACTGCAGATGTTCTGGAGTCAAAGACTGTGCCTCTAAGCCATGCCTAAAGGCTGTCTGGATTCCCTTCCCAGGCAAATAGGAGACACAGAGCTCTAATTTGGACTGAAGCTCTGATACATCGGGGAAGGCCTTGTTCTTAGCCAGGGATTTAGACCAAAAAGGGAACTAAAAACAGCTGGGCTGAGGCAAGACTGGGAATTGTCAAGAGGCTAAATGAAGTGACAAATCCATGGGATGGGGAGAAAGCTAGCAGAGCGCTCAAAACTGCTTTGAGGCCAAAGGGCTCCAACCTGGGGCTGCAAGCCTGAGTAGAGGGAGGAGTGGACAGTCTGAGGCAATGATTCAAACAAAACCTGGAAGATGTTTGTGAGACACATGAAGTCTCTCCTGTGGAGGGTGACAGGGGAGAAGCTAAGGGCACTGAATCATTTAGAAAAGAGGGGGCAGATGTCTACCACTCAGCCCTCTGTGTCTTTGCCTTGAAAAATCCATGGCACATGATTTTTGGCATGTTAGTAGTGCTCACTTCTGTCTCTTAAACCCCAGGTCACCGAGGACATTCAAAATTAGTGGGAAATAGAGTTCTAGGGAAACTTCTGAAGCTTCCCTCGGGTGGCAGGACAGCTTAGTCCAGCACAAATAAGTCATTTTAAATACAGCCATGGAAGTGTGCATTTGACCAATCCCAGATAGAGGTGTGTGCACCAGGGCAGGTCTTAGTGATGGAGTGGCCCCTGTGATTGGAGGCAAATGGAGTTTAATGGCAAGATTTGACAGAGGAAATGAATCTAGGCTAAGTCTGGAATCATAGTTCCAGCCCTGGGCGTGGTGGTTGTGAATGGGGGCGTAAGAGTAGGAGAGTCCTGTGGAGGTGGTAAGTGGCAAGTTTAATGCAAGGGAACCAGATGATGTGACTCAGGGGGTGGGTATGGGGAGCGACTGCCTGTTCATGGATGTGATTAGGATGGCCCATGGGGAAGGTGATCATTGCGGCTCTTCTTAGATTAGATTAAACATGGCAAAGGTTAGAAGCTTCAGTTTTGGGGTTTTTTTTGGTGGCGGCAAAATGGCAAGGGCATGAGTGTATCAGGATGGTGAGACCAGCAGTGGGGCCAGGGGAATCTCGAAGCCAGGGAAACCAGAGGGACGAAGGGAAGTGAGGGAATGAGCTGTTGACAGAAGATTACAGGAGGCAGTGGTGTCCAGATCGTCCTGTGTTCTTCAGTGAAAATGTGGCCCTAGGGATGAAGGATGGTCTGTGGCTCCTGACACACTGAGCTCATTATCTGGACACCACAGGTGAAGGTAAGGTGTTTGTCTCAATTGACTTTGATGTCAAAACGGGGCCAATAATAGATTTTGTCCATCCACATTGTAGGTGAGGAAGGAATTCTGGGTAGTTATATTTGTACTGAGGACAATGTTTCCCAGTGAACAGGACAGGAAGTTTCTTTTTATTTCTAAATCTTGCCTGAAGTGATGTCTTTTGTTTTTCTCTCCCAAGTTCAGCACCACACCAAAATCTTGAAAAACCGTATGATACTCTGCAGACGTTTGCGCACATGTAGAAGGTGTCATGCAGTAAGAAACTGTTCCTTTGAAAAAATAACCAAAGTCTACTTTCAACAGATAATGATTCCACATGAAAACCGAACCAGCGAGGCCATGTACAACAAAATGAACATTTCCCAACTGAGTGCTATGATTCCCCAGGTTGGTGAAAATAATCCAGGGAATTTTATTTTAATTGGTTACTTTACCAGTGATTGCATTTCATCTGTGTGTAAATTTTTGCCTTGTCAAACGTACCACCAGTCTTTTTGGTTATCATCATCTTTGTCCATTATCACATACACTATCCCTTTTCTGTGCATCAGGATGCTTTTTGCTCTTGGGACAGAAAACCTTTCCAAGGTGGCTTAAAAACTTACACCCCATTTTGCTACATGACGGAAGTTCAGACATAGGTGGCTACTGGTGTTGGCTTAGCTGCTTAACAATGTTGTCAAAGGCCCAAACTCTTTCTTTCCACTCCATTCTCTTTAGTGTATTGGCTTTTTGACTTCATGTTGGATGATTCAGGCATGCAAGGTGGCTACCACATGTCCATATATCACATCTGCCATCAGGGCAGGAAGACGAGGGAAGGGACAGTGATGGCCATATCTAATTCTTTTACCAGGAAAAACCAAAACCTTTCTAGACTATTCCCAGGTGGCTTCCTTTTATTTCTTATTGAGTAGAATTGGGGCATGTATATGGCCATCCCTACCTACAGGAATGGCTGGGCCTGTGAGTAGCTGATTTTTCATTTCAATAGTGGAGGCAAGCAAGGGAGGGACCAATTTAAACAGCAAGATAGTGATGCTCTGAAGAGGGGATATGTTACATTTTGTTGCTGCTTATTTCCCCTATGCAAGAAAGGTTGTGTCAGAAAGAAGACCAGTAATGTCCTGGGGCATTTGTGTCTTTGTGGACGTGACAGTGAGTAAGGGAGAGTACAGGGGGGAAAGGGAGGAGAGAAGGAGGAGAGAAAGGGAGCATAGAACGGAGAGGGGAGTACAGGATGGGGAGAAAGGAAATGAAGGAGAGGAGAGTTGAGGAGGGAGGGGCAGAGAGTACTGGAGGGACCAGCAGAGTGAGTGTGGGTATTACCAGGTGAGTGTATGTGTTGTCCATATGCGGATGGTATAGAACACATGTTCCATTTATGATGCAAGTAGTAGGTCTGGGTGGCAGTGACTGGGCATTTATTTTCTAGATTTGAGCAGTTGCATTTTTAATTATTTGGTTTGAAATCACAAGCAATGGATTCTGTTAAACCGATGATTTTTGCCTTGCTTGCTGCCTAGCAAGAGGTACTTCACTTGGGGTTTTTTTTTCTTTCTCTTACTTCTCAGTTTGACTGGCTGGGCTACATCAAGAAGGTCATCGATACCAGACTCTACCCTGACCTGAAGGACATTGGCCCCTCAGAGAACGTGGTGGTTCGTGTCCCGCAGTACTTTAAGGATCTGTTTAGGATATTAGGCTCTGAGAGGAAGAAGTAAGAGTTTCCTTGTGTATTTTACTGTGACTTTTTGTTTTTCCTTGTAAATGTTAAGGCCTTACCTCTCACATCCTTTGAAAACTGTTTTTAATGAAAGTTGCATCAAAAGAGTCTTGGGGGAAATCACGGTGTCCTTTGTGACAAATTGGCCAAAACCATCGTCTGCTGTGATTTACTTGCTGCAATGACAGCGCATACACAATGTTTTTGCTCCTTATTTCCAGTATCTCTCCATATTTTCTCTCTGAAAACCTAAATTATTTGTTAGTTTTGTGAACTAGTCATATAATAATGTTTTCTGAGACTTCCATATGAACATCTTTCCTCCCCACTCCCAGTTAATTCTTAGTCAATTGCTGCTTTCACCCCCTTGTTTCTTTTTAGCCAATAAGTCACTTTGTGGCAATAAACCGAGGTACCTATATTGAAAAGACATAAGATCACTCTGAGAGCTGTAGAAAAATTGCCCCGATGAAAGAATTTCAGCAACTGTCAGGTTTTTCTTTTTAGAAAGAATATTTTAGGTCCCACCCGGTTTGGCTCAGTGGATAGAGCGTCGGTCTGCAGACTAAGGGGTCCCAGGTTGGATTCCGGTCAAGGGCATGTACCTTGGTTGCAGGTACATCCCCAGTAGGGGGTGTGCAGGAGGCAGCTGATCGATGTTTCTCTCTCATCGATGTTTCTAACTCTCTATCCCTCTCCCTTTCTCTCTGTAAAAAATCAATAAAATATATTTTTAAAAAAGAATATATTAGGATTTGTTGGGGTGCTACTTTAGCACTGCAAAATAAGGAAACCCCAAAAATGCCCGGGAAAGATAATTTTACATCTTTATGAAGCGATTCAGATTTCACTACAGAAAATGAAGCACAGAAAGGTCAACTAGTTTACAAAGACAAAGGCAAATTGCCAGGCCAGGATAAAAAAAAAATCATATTTTCTTATTTGGATTTATACAAGGCATGTTGCAAGGGGTTATTATTTTTTAAAAAAGCACCTGCCAAAGTCCTAGTAATAAAATTCAGCATCCATCCTCACCTACGGAAGGACACATTTGAAGAGCTGTATTCTTTTTAAGATGATATATTCTTATGGAAAAACCAGTATGTGTTCCTTGAGGAAAGCATGCGGGATAGTAAACATACATAGAAGGGGGAGAAGAAACAATAAATTCACTTAAGATTCTACCAGAAATAAGCAGTGATTCTTTGAAAATTCTCTGAGCAAAAATTGAATCTAGAGGTAAATAGTGTTTGGGTGGGGTAGAGCCTTGCTATTCAAACTGTGCGCCATGGACCAGTAATGCCAGCAGCCTGTGGTAAAAATATAGATTCCAAGGTCCCTCCTCCATAGAGGCCTATAAAGTAGACCTGGAGTGAGGCCCAGGAACCTGTATTTTAACAAGCAACTCAAGAAAGTCTTATGCTTACTCTTTTGGGGAGGGGGAACTCACTACATTAGAATAACTTATTCATATGTGCTTCCTAGTTCTGAAATACTATAAAATATGATCCAAATGATTTTCTACACCTATGCCATTGAGTTATTGGACGCATTTTAAATTTTGGTGGTAATTTGCATTGAAAGGTGGAGTTTTTACCATGCTATATATGTATTCTTCAGACCTAGTGAGTTGTTTGTGAATTAGTAGGTGCTTTAGGAAATTAATTTTATTTCCATAAAAACCTAACTTATAACAACATGATAGATTGGATCTTGGCTTACTATATTAGAAAAATCATCTCTATGGTGATGATTATACTTTAGAACTGCAGGACTTGTTATAACAAAAGGGACCAAGAAGATCATGAGTAGAGGGAGATTTTAATCTGCTTCTTGTCAAAGTGATAACTTGATGTAAATGTAATGAACAGCAGTGGCAGAATATATAGATAGAAAAGTTACCTACAGGTATAAAATGACCATGATATAAAATGACCTTTAGACATTATGAAACTTCAGTTTTAAAGGCAAAAAACATCTCTTTCACATAATTTATGCCTCAAAAACCAATTCATCAAAAACAACTTGTATCCTATATATTCTTATGAGATTTCAAGACACTTTACATATTGAAAAGATTAATACTTTATTTGCACATCACAGTGCATTTTTATACTGCTAATCATATTTTATCCTCACTTGTGTTGTATTCCAGTCCAGGAAATATCCCCTTGGGTCCTCATAGTTACATATTAGTCAGGACATGCCAATTGCTGCAATAAGTTCTTCTAAACTCTCATTGGCTTGCACAATAAAAATTATACTCTTGGCTCATGGAACGGTCCAACGTGGGTGTCCCTATAAGATGGCTTTCTTCCAAGTAGGGACTTGGGAATCCAGGCTCCTTCTTCTCGTGACTTCCCTTCTCTGGATGTTTGGAATCTTCTCCATTCAGCTGATAGGTGGGGAAAGAGAGAGGGTAGAAGATTGCAAGGAAGTTTTTGTGGTCAGGCCTGAAAGTGGTGCATATCCCCTTCTACCCCTATTTCATTGGTCAGAATACAGTCATATAACCCATTTAACCACAGAAGAAGCTGGGAAGTATATTTAAGCTGTGTGCCCAGGAGCAAAATATCACATAAATGATCTAATTTTCTTGAAATGACATTTTCTTGTTTGTTCCACCTTGCCCCCAAATGACGCAGTGAGCACCTGACGGTGGGCACTCTTGTATAATAAGTCTTCACTTAATGTCATCCATGGGTTCTATGACTTTAAGTGAAATGATATATAATGAAACCAGTTTTACCGTAGGCTGATTTAAAAATATATTTTTATTGATGTCCGAGAGGAAGGGAGAGGGAGAGAGAGAGATAGAAACATCAATGATGAGAGAGAGTCATTGATTGGTTGCCTCCTGCATGCCCCCTACTGGGGATCGAGCCCACAACCTGGGAAAGTGCCCTTGACCGGAATTGAATTCAGGACCCTTTAGTCTGCAGCCTGATGCTCTATATCTACTGAGCCAAACCAGGTAGGGCCACCATAGGCTAATTGATATAAATAAGAGTTCACTTCCTATAGCATCTCATCAAGGTTGTAACAAGACAATGTTATTTGAGGATCTGCTGTAATTGCTTTTGTAACTTCAAGGCCTAGCACAGTGCTTTTCATAGTAGATACTTCATAAAAATTTCTAGAAATTAACCAGATGCCCGAATCACCACTATCCAGGAGGTGATACGTAAGCAGAACCGCAGAGAATAAGGAGGAGCTTTCCAGGTAGAGGAGAGTAGAAAAGGGATGTTGCATATGTCCAGTGATGGGACTAGCATGTTGCCTTCGAAGCAAGAGTCCAGAGAGCTGGGGAGGCTTTGAGGGGTTGGTTTGGGCTCAGGATGTATAAAGGGAAGGTTTTTTAACATCCTCTCACCTCTCCCCTGGAGATACCTTTGAAGAAACAGCCAGTCCTTCTCAAGTTGGATATCTCTGCTGTGCCTCTGTTCTGAGAATCTGCCAGTGAAAATCACACATGGGTCATGATGATGTTAACCACCATTATGACTAACAGTTACCTTAAAATAACTATATTATTTCCGTTTTACAGATGAGGAAGCTGAGGTTAAGTGATCTGCATAAGGACACACCTATTAGAGGGAGCAGAGCTGAGATTCTAAACTCGGTGACCCTCATTTCTATGTCCTATTTCCCATACATGTTTCTGTATGGAAATGAGACACCTTTCAGACACTTCCCTGTTAGTTTGGAGACAGACAACTCTCCTTTAATTTTCAGGATTACCAAACCATCTTGGGTTGGTATTAGCTGCTCATTTCTTGACTGCTTCTTACCCTCTTATATCATGTCTCCTGCCAGCCTGGTGGGAATAGGCCTCTCTTTCTGACTCAATGGCTTTGGGGACAGAGGCACTGACTCTGAAAGTTGGTTCATGGTACAAAACTAGAGCAGTGAGATCCCCCAGAGGTTGTTCCAGAAATTGTGTTGGCCCTTGAGGGACAAGGAAGTAGGTGGCCAGGGCAGGGCCATTTGAGGGCTTGACATGGAGGCTGCCTAGAGGGAAACGGAGTTGGAGTTCAAGGTGGAAAGGGGGTGTGAAGATGCAGTGATGTGCTGGGTCCCTCAAGTAATGGGCATGTCTTTCCAACTCCATGTGGAGTGAGGTCACATGCATAGTTTGAAATCAACTCTAATTTTTGATGTGTCTGAGCACTAGGTGGCAGTAATTCAGTCATTTAGTCAGATCTGCCCCTGGCTTGGGAATATTTACAACCTGGAAATCGGCAAATGCTACAGATCAAGTTTTTCTTGGCAAGCCAGTTGTCTAGCACAGTGGTCGGCACACTCATTAGTCAACAGAGCCAAATATCAACAGGACAACGATTGAAATTTCTTTTGAGAGCCAAATTTTTTAAACTTAAACTATGTAGGTAGGTACATTGTTATTAACTTAATTAGAGTACTCCTAAGGCTTAGGAAGAGCCACACTCAAGGGGCCAAAGAGCCGCATGTGGCTTGCGAGCCGCAGTTTGCAGACCACGGGTCTAGCACATCACTGGGTGATGGGTGCTGCAGACTTCCATCCCTTTCTGCCTCCCTTCAGTTCTTCTACCCACTCCTGACTTGAGGCTGTCTTAGATTCCATCTTATTTGGTCTGAGGAGCAAGAATGGGAGGGGGAGGCTGAGGAAAGATGAGGCCAGAGAAATTTGACTTGGGATCTTCTGTGTGTGTGTGTGTGCCTGGCCTAAAGCAGACTCTGGGAGCTTTTGCCAAGCCTCTGTGATCTTTTCTGTCCTTAATTTTATTTTCATATAAAGCATGCACAGTGTACATTAAAGTGAGATGACTCTTGTTGCACAGGTGCTCCTAGAGCAGCGGTTCTCAACCTGTGGGGCGCGACCCCTTTGGCGGTCGAATGACCCTTTCACAGGGGTCGCCTAAGACCATCCTGCATATCAGATATTTACATTACGATTCATAACAGTAGCAACATTACAGTTATGAAGTAGCAACAAAATAATTTTACGGTTGGGT